GCACAAGAAAACTAACAAAGTTACATCTCTCATTCCGAAATTTAACTCCTGCGGACTGGAAAAGTTCAGTACTCACCTGTTCTAAAGAGCGTCCAGGTTTTCCGTTTGGCCAGCCTGGGGTAAATGACAGTTGTCCTTCTGTCTCAAGTGTGCTAAGAAAAAAGCACAGCAACGTGACTAGAATCACACACAATGTAAAACCTTTCATTCTGTGACGTAGCTGCTTTTGCCCAAACTCCGCAGACAAAATCTCGCAAAATAACCAAATTGAAAGTAGCCAGGTTAAACCTACACCGAATGGTTTGACTAAGAGAAAAACACCTTTATATAACGCCCTTGACAAAAGTCCACTCTTTGTTGGGAGTCACGCAAAATTTCCGTGTTTGATAAGAATGCCAGACAAACTAAACCCTTCGGAAGCAATCTCGTCAACTTGATTTCAATTATGAGGCTTTCAGTACGTGGGAGCAGACAAAAATGAATAGATCTCGTATATTTCCTGTTTTCTTACGTTGATGACAAAAACGTTTCTTAACCCTCGCTGAAAAGACCATTTAATGTACTTGTCTTTTATCTACTCTAACTGATACAGTAAGTGTGAAATGTGTTTCGCGAGGCGGAGCAGTAAGCGAACGCTGAAAAGATAAGCCTCCTACATGACGTGATATGTTATCAGCGTAGATAAAACGTTTTCTTTACTTCGCCTAAAATCGACGAATTAAAATAAGGTTTGCTCACTCTTCTAAAGAGTGAGTGGCTGTTCTAAACGTTCGTTACGTTATGTGATGCGTTATGTGATGATGCGTTACGTGATGCGTCAAGACTGGCATATGCTGTAAGCTCAACAACTTCAACGATTTTGTAATGCTGGTTTTGTTCAGTTCTGAGTGATGTTCTTTCCATTTATAATCGATGTTTCCAGCTGCGTTCAGGGTAAAGATAACGCATCATATTTACTCATAGTTTTCTCGCTACAAGTAAATTGCTTCCTTGGTCAATTAAGTCAGCTCGAATATTGGGTCAAAGAAAATTACCGATAAATATCTTTCACTTGTTTGTTTAACTGTATGGGGCTGTTTTGCTGTGGGATCTCTGAACTTTTCTGATTATGCAATGGTGCATTTTTTGTCCTCTTTTTGGAGCTTTACTCAAGATTGTTGCAGTTGTCCATGTAAAAAAATGAATGCGAAATAGTATTTATGTCGACTACAATGGAATCGTGTTTTTTCGACTTCCAAAGGAAAAGAGAGGAAAAAGAGGTAAAATTACAGTTTTGGCAGTGAGGGGAGGAAACGACCTTTGGTTCGAATTATCAGAAGGTTTGAAAGATCGAAGGTTTGAGAAATCGCATTGTAGCATTTCATAAGCATTTAGTAAATTATTCTCAGCTTTCTCACTGTACAGTGAATCAAGTTTAACATACAGCCTAAATATTTTCGCTTATTGAGTATTATTTTGAGAAAGTGTACTATTCTTGAAATAACACAACCTCAATTTGTAATATTGAGGGAGGTTGGTTTACTACTATTACTAGCCACTCTGTTTGTTACTTCGTGTCATGAAAATTTGAATATAACTTCAGTTTCTTTCGCCCGTTGAAACTATGGAAGTGAAAAGACTTCAGTGAAACAGCCTGAGATGACAAGGCAATTTTTGACAACTCTTTCAAAGTCTGTTCTATATCTTTGTTTGCCAATACAGTTTGTGGTTTCGTAAAGGTGCTCAAAATGCCTCAAGGCTTAATTGATCATTTGTTTTATCAAAAGAACGGGCACCATTAACGGGCTAATGCTCTCTGTATAAGTTATCGATGATTTAGTCCAAGCTCTTAGTGCTAAAACACAACGTAACAGCTGCACCGGAAAGAAATGCCTGTTTTGGACTTCGACATCACTTTTAGACTTTAATTCTTTCGTTTAAGTGTTTCCCTCTGTATAAAAACCGATATGTAACTACTGTTTTAAAGACTGAATTATGTTAAAGTTTAATGCTACTTGGCCATATATATATATATATATATATATATATATATATATATATATATATATATTAACAACAACAACAACAACAACAACAAGAAGCTTTATTACCAAATAGAAAAAAAAGTTAAACTTTACAATATAATATATTGATACAAAAAAGAGGTAATGTTTACTTAGGATAACTATAAAGCTAATCAAGCTGAGTAAAACTAAGTAATGTTTAAGTACAGAAGATAGGTTGGCACTAAAGCTTGATGGAAGCAATTAATTAGTCAATAAAAAAGAGACGAAAAGAAGAAATAAATAAATAGATAGATAAATAAAAATAAAATATAAACAACAGAGCAAAAAGATGACAGGATAGTAGCAGGGAGAAACTTAATTTCCATTCAAGGGTCACTCTCCTTTCATTCGAATTTATAAACTAAAAACCTAAGAATATATTACGAAATAACATGGTTTGCTGAAACAAATTTACAAAATAAAATTGAGAAAATACAAGAAGACTAGTGCTACTTCGATCGAGTGCAGGTAACTTAATTAAAGGAGGTAATGCCTGAATACACATTGCATAAGAAGGGGAGAGAATTGCCCTCAGTTAACCACTTGGATCTGAATAGCTGTTTTCTGATTCATAGAAACTTTCTGTTTACTTTGCCATCTAATTTTAATGAGCTCTTTGACGATTAGTAAAGATATTGGCACGCCATTGAGTCGCCTTGTCCCGTAATCGAAGGCCTGGGGTTACAAAAGTACTTAACTAAATTACCGTTTCTGCGATAACTTGGATATACGTCCTGCCCACAGATTGATAACCACTCTGATAACATGAAAATTAAATGCTCAGGTATTAAAAGGAATTGAAATGTAACAGACACGAAAAGAAGAGGCGTAGGAATAATAATGAAAGCTAAGGTCGGTGCCATGTTTCCCTTTTTTTTTTTCGAGTTTCTGTACTTCATGTTGTGATAGTTTTCTTCTGTGTAATGCATCCTAAAAGCTCTAGCGATATAATGTCATGATTCTGAAATTAGCGTTAGTTTCTTTGTGTTAGTGGTGTGTGTGCGTTATTATTTTAGTATTAACGTTATAGTAGTGTGCCTGTTAATTATTTTTTGGTTTGTTCTTTGAAAGGTTCAAAAATATTATTGTAAGCAGTGTACCAATTTTGTATTGTATTAACATTCATTTTGTAAGTAGGTAGGGTAAATGACAATGTTGTAAGTAATGATAGAAATCAAATTGTCCTTAAGTTTGTAGTAGTTTTTATTGTAAGTAGTTTCAGCAATGTTTTGTTTTGTGTAATAAATAAATAAATAAATAAATAAACAAACAAACAAATAAATAAATAAAAACTAATCATTTTAGAAAAACACGAGGTTGGTGGGCCTATACCGGAAATAAGATGGTACTGCTGTTCTATGGCTTAGCTGTCATCATAATACACCCTTGAAGCTGTTCAACACTTACGATAATTGCAGTTGGATCCCATTTTCTCAGTCGAACCTCGAATTTTCAAACCTCCCGATAACTCGAACCAAAATTCGATTCCTTCCTCTCAATCGTGCACTGAATTTTATCCCCGACTTCTCTAACTACCCGATTTTTCGAGCTAATTTTCGTTTCCCTAGCTTTTCCCTTGGAGGTTCGAAAAATCGAGATTTCACAGTATTGAATATGTTTTGACAAAGTTGAGCGACCTTTTTACAACAGCAACAGCTGAAAACATGAGCTAATATGCATTGTCAAGCTGTAGAGAATACTATCAAAGATTAAATGTGGCTCTGAACAATGTGAAAGGACTTAAATTTAGATCATTACCGATCAGGATTTTCCCATGACGTACGTGAAGGTTTTATTTTTACGGTGAAAATTTTGTTTTCACATCTTTACATTGGTTTCGCTCTCATACATCCGTTTATTCATTTACAGTCTTTATACGTGCTTATTCTTTCACTTTTTCATTCATTCTTTCATTCCAATTCTCCAAATCATTCTTTCGCTCAATCATTTGTTCGTTCTCTCCTTTTTCGTTCATTTACTTATTTTTCCATAGCCATTCATCCGTTGATTTATTCTGTTTTCGTTCACTTGTTCATTCCTTCATTCACTTGCTCGTTTTTGTTCTACTGTTTTTATATCTAATCGTACCTCTTTGGTACACTTCCGTGGCATATCACTGAGGCTCGTTTGTTCTCGCCATGGTTCTCATTTTTGCGAGACGTAGTCGAGCCAAAATATCCATTGCGAGACCAAACGAGCCAGACATGATATTTACCGTACCCAAATTCGGCCAAGTGAGCACGATATCGTAGCCATATCATTCGCGGATATTAGGATAGTAGACACGGCTTCTGATTGGCTAATAATTGCGAGTTTGGGTCCGGTAATGCGTCATCACCCATACTTACTTGACCTATTGTAACCTTATCCATATGCACCTTCAAAACCTCGGTCTTGAATTCAATTCATACCGATGTGTTTTGTCACTATCATCTGTTCAACGACCGATTAACACTAGTATTCTTCCTTGCGTTCTTATGTTGATCAAGGCTGGCGCCACAAAAACGGAA